GGCTTTGCATGACATGGGTGCACTTACATACATGCAGGTAATATACTCATACACATAAAAAAATTAATAAATAAAATATTTAAAAAATAAGACCAACTCTCCCTCACCCAGCAGGGATCTCTGCTTATTTTTAGATATTTTAGATATTAATTCTATATTAATAGAGAATTAATAGTTCCATTTCTGTACACTATCTTGTCACTCGACTGGACTGGACTGAAGGCACCCCTACAGAAAGGAACTCGAGTTTGGTATTGTAAAAAAAGACAAAAAGCTGCTGCTGGGACAGTCATGAGCCTTTCCACTGCTATTGCTTTGCTAAACCAATGTGATATGCCTGTCAAATTGCTTTTTAAGCATTCATGTTTGTGTCTAGAGATAGCTGTTGCTATCGCCTTGGCTAAGGAGGGAAATTTCTTTTGTGCAATGAGCAGCGGTCACTGGAGAGACTCATGAATGGTCAAGTATCTGACAGAAAGTGGCAGTTGCTATGGCCCAGTGGTACAATGCTCAGACATAAATGGGAAAAGAAATCATGAGGCATCTATATTCCTCTCTCCAAGGTTCAGGAAATCCTGTAGAAGAGGTGGAAGAAGATAAAACCCAGAGGAAAGGGTGGAGTGTTGTGTAGCAATTTGCTCTGAAATTGAAGCATTCCTTCTTGTAGGGAGTATGAGGCACATAAGACCCAGAAACTAATTAAGCATATTGGTTTCAGAAAGTTCATGAAACTTACAAGAACTCAGAAAGCTCAGAAATTTACAAGATTCACAGAACTGCTTCCCAAAGTTATACAAACAGTAAGCAATTGCTAAGGAGAGACTGATGATGGAGCTGCCTGCCAGCTGAATGGGGAGATCCAGGGATTAGCCATCATCCATGCTGGTGTTCGCTGTTCAGCGATGCAGTGGCTTCTCACTCACTTGGGCTCTAGAAGCAACCTACACCTTGCCCTTGTACCTCAATAAAATTATAAGTTAGCCAGGCCAGATTTAGGTAAAATTGTTTCTCTGGTCTGTCTTTAGTGCACTACCTGGGTGAATAGATATTTTCGCCCATGCAGAGTTACAACATGAATAATAGGTGATGCTACAGGAAAAGATGAAATTGAGAAGGAAAAAAATACAATAAAAGGAGTATCTTCCCTACCAGGACATGGAGGAACAAAGACTGGATAATTATTAATGGAAATGTAAAACACTGCAGTCATAGAGGAAGATAGTTTGGTTGTTTCTTACTAAAGGAAATCTATTCTTAGCACATGATTTATCAACTCCACTCCAGTATTTATTCAAATAAGTTGAAAAACATGTCCACACAAAAACTTGCACACAGACATTTACAGGCAATTCACAACTCCCAAAACTTGGATGCAACCAAGACATCATTCAGTAGGTAAATATGGATAAAACTTTGGTTCACCTAAATAATGGATTATTACTTAGCCTAAAAGGAAGTGTTATAAGGTCTTCAAAAGATATGGTACAATTTGGGGCTGAAGAGATGCCCCAACTGTTAAGAACTGTTCTTCCAGAAGACCTGGGTTCAAATCCCAGCATCAACATGGCAGCTAAGAACCGTCCAGAACTCCAGTTCCAGGGAATCTGACACCCTTTTCTGTCCTCTGTGGGAACTGCATGACACAATGCACTTACACACAAGCAGGCATCATACACATAAAAATTAATTATGTAATTTTAAGAGCATGGTACAATTTTAAATGTATACTACTTAAGAAGCTATATGAAAAGGCTTATGATAATGAGAAAAGGCCCAACTATGGAGATAGTTAAAAGGTCAGTTATTACCAGGGATCAGGATTTTGAGAGGGATAATGTACAGATAATAGGATGTTTTAGAAACTGAAATTGTTCTGCATGATAGTATAATGACTACTTACCTATACATCTATCAAAACCCACTGAATGTACAATAGCAAGTAAGTCCTATGCTAAAATGTGGCCTTTCATTGGTAATATGTCTACATAAGTTCACTGAATGTTGAAATGAGTCATAATGGTGTAAGACATCAACAGTGGGGAGGCTACGAGTGTGTGGCAGCAGCAGATATATCAGACCTCTCTAGTTTCTACTCAATTATGATGTGGAACTAAAGTCACTCTAAAAACAGTTTATCAAAAAAAAAATGAGACCAGGGGCTAGAGAGATGACTCAGTGGCTAAAACCCCCATCAACAGTGGGGAGGCTACGAGTGTGTGGCAGCAGCAGATATATCAGACCTCTCTAGTTTCTACTCAATTATGATGTGGAACTAAAGTCACTCTAAAAACAGTTTATCAAAAAAAAAAATGAGACCAGGGGCTAGAGAGATGACTCAGTGGCTAAAACCCCTAGCTGTTCATCCAGAAGACCTAGGTTCAGTTCTCAGCACTCACACAGCTACTAACAACTGCCCTAGTTCTTGGGGATCTGATGCCCTCTTCTGGCCTCTGAGGGCACTGCACACATGGGTGCACTTACATGCATGCAGGTAACACACAACACAAAAATAAAAATGAATGAATAAAAAGATGTTTTAAAAGGCCCAACCTTTGTTGAAACTGATCTATGTTTTGCTCCTTAGAAATTAAGATTCATTTTAGGATTTTGCCACTGTATATTAAAATGTGAAGCATAATAAGAAGGTGCATACAAGGAAGAAAGCCATTCTCGAGGTAAACTTGAAACTAAAATGTTTGCTGATGATGTGGAAGGGTGAGAAAACAGAAGAAAGAGACATTTTTAGATTTTCTTGATCTTGAAGGGAGTAGGTAAGGTAGTTGTGATCTCCTTTTAGCAAAAGGGATAGAGGGGAAACATATACAGGA